TGATCTCTTGTTCCTCTGCCTTTTCTAGATACAGCTTGAACATCTGGAATTTCATGGTTCACGTACAGTTGAAACTTGGCTTGGAGAATTTTGAGAATTACTTTGCTAGCATGTGAGATGAGTGCAATTGTGTGGTAGTTTGAACATTCTTTGGCATTCCCCTTTGGTGTAGGACTGAAAACTGACCTTTTCCAGTCCTGTGGCCCCTGCTGAGTTTTCCAAATTTGCTGGCATTTTGAGTGCAGCACTTTCACAGCATTCTCTTTTAGGATTTGAAATATCTCAATGGGAATTTCATCACCTCCACTGGCTTTGTTCATAGTGATGCTTCCTAAGGCCCACTTGACTTCACATTCCAGGATGTGTGGCTTTAGAAGAGTGATCACGCCATTGTGATTATCTGGGTCCTGAAGATTTTTTGTACAGTTCTGTGTATTCTTGCCGCCTCTTCTTAATATCTTCTGCTTCTGTTAGGTCCATACCATTTCTGCGCTTTATTGTGTGCATCTTTGCATGAAATGTTCCCTTGGTATCTCTAATTTTCTTGAAGAGATCTCTAGTCTTTTCCATTCTGTTGTTTTCCTCTATTTCCTTGCATTGATCACTGAGGAAGGCTTTCTTATCTCACTTTGCTGTTCTTTGGAACTCTGCATTCAGATGGGTATCTCTTTCCTTTTCTCCTTTGCCTTTAGCTTCTCTTCTTTTCACAGCTACTTGTAAGGCCTCTTCAGACAACCCTTTTGCCTTTCTTTTTGTTGGGAATGGTCTTGATGCCTGCCTCCTCTACAATGCCACAAACTTCCATCCAAGTTCTTTAGGCACTCTGTCTATCAGATCTAATCCCTGAGTCTATTTCTAAGATAATGGCATCTGTCCCATCACTTCTTGGCAAATAGATGGGGAAACAGTGGAAACAGTGACAGACTTTGTTTTTTGGGGCTCCAAAATCACTGTAGATGGTGACTGCAGCCATGAAATTAAAAGACACTTGCTCCTTGGAAGAAAAGTTATGACCAACCTAGACAGCATATTAAAAAGCAGAGACATCACTTTGCCAACAAAGTTCCATATAGTCAAAGCTATGGTTTTCTAATATGTATGGATGTGAGGGTTGGAGTATAAAGAAATCTGAGCTCTGAAGAATTGATGTTTTTGAACTGTGGTATTGGAGAAGACTCTTGAGAGTCCCTTGGACTGCAAGGAGATCCAACCAGTCCATCCTAAAGGAGATCAGTCCTGGGTGTTCATTGAAAGGACTGATGCTGAAGCTAAAACTCCAATATTGTGGCTACCTGATGCCAAGAGCTGAGTCATTGGAAAAGACCCTGATGCGGGGAGGGATTAGGGGCAGGAGGAGAAGGGGACGACAGAGGATGAGATGGCTGGATGGCATCACCAACTCGATGGACATGAGTTTGAGTAAAGTCTGGGAGTTGGTGATGGATAGGGAGGCCTGGTGTGCTGCAGTTCATGGGGTCGCAAAGAGTCGGACAAGACTGAGCAACTGAACTAAACTGAACTGATATCGAATGTCAGGGGACTGGATGTTCTCTGTTCTCCTCTCCAAGTATACTCTCCATCCTGCTCTATACCCAGGAGGCTGATTTCTATGCACTTGTCTTTTTTGCTTCTTGTTGAGTTTGGCCCAGTGGGAGCCACTGGCAGGAAAGAGTGGTCAGCCTGTTTATCTTCTGCGATCTTTTCTTTCCTGTGCTGAGATCCCCAGGTCCTGTGGATCCACCTCAGTTCCAGGTCTCCCAGGCTGGGATAATTTCTTCCTCTTCTGTCCCTTCAAGCCTAGGAGTGGTGACGTCTTCTTATTGTGTTGGTCCCAGGGTGCTTTACCTTCTCTTGTAGATTTCCCCTAATCCTGCACATGTGTTTAAAAATATTCCTTTCTTTAAGCTTTTCCCAATCATTCCTCTGGAGATGATTGCCCATACCTTTTAAGATAACAACACTAACACTTAAGCTCTAGACAGAAAGAGAAGAAATTTATTCTATTTTCTCATTCATCATAGGGCTCTTTGGGACTTGAAGATTATTATTTAAAGATAACTTCCGAGACTGACTGCAGCCCGCGCACCAGCCGGCTCCGTTATGGCGGCCCGCAGCCCCAGCGTGGTGATTAGCGATGATGAACCAGGTTATGACCTAGATTTATTTTGTATACCCAATCATTATGCTGAGGATTTGGAGAGGGTGTTTATTCCTCATGGACTAATTATGGACAGGACTGAACGACTGTCTCGAGATGTAATGAAGGAGATGGGTGGCCATCACATCGTGGCCCTCTGCGTGCTCAAGGGGGGCTATAAATTCTTTGCCGACCTGTTGGATTACATCAAAGTACTGAACAGAAATAGTGACAGATCCATTCCTATGACTCTAGATTTTATCAGACTGAAGAGCTACTGTAACGACCAGTCAACAGGCGAGATAAAAGTAATTGGTGGAGATGATCTCTCAACTTTAACTGGAAAGAATGTCTTGATTGTCGAAGATATAATTGACACTGGGAAGACAATGCAAACTTTGCTTTCCTTGGTCAAGAAGCATAAACCAAAGATGGTCAAGGTTGCAAGCTTGCTGGTGAAAAGGACCCCTCGAAGTGTTGGATATAGACCAGACTTTGTTGGATTTGAAATTCCAGACAAGTTTGTTGTGGGATATGCCCTTGACTATAATGAATACTTCAGGGACTTGAATCATGTGTGTGTCATTAGCGAAACTGGAAAAGCAAAATACAAAGCCTAAGATGAGAGTTCGAGTTGAGTTTGAAAATACCTGGTGTCCCATTGAAATCACCAGTGACATGATCCGATGTTCTCGTTCTGTGGCCAGCTGCTTAGTAGAGCTTATTGCATGTATCTCCTAAGAATTTGATCTGTTTTGTATTTTAGAAATGTCAGTTGCTGCATTCCCGAACTCTTCATTTGCACTATGAGCCTAAAGACTATCAGTTCCCTTTGGGTAGATTGTTATTTGACTTGTGAATGAAATATCTCTTAAACCACACCACTATTGACTGAAAATATGGAAATTGTATCTGTAAGAAACATTTAAAGAGAAGAATATATTAGTTTTTTAATTGGTATTTTAATTTTTATATATTTAGGAAAGAACAGAAGTGATTGAATGTTGTTAACTATACCACTGTGTGTTTAGAAAGGTAGCAAGCAGTCAGTTTCGTATCCATGACAACACTTAGAGGTATTGTTATGTCAGAGAAACTGTATGCCCTGGAACTTTTTTAGTAGGTTTCAGAGGTAGTAACTATATTTTCTTGCTTGTTCAGATTATTTCTGGTGAATCTTTGTCAACAGTTCCTTTTCAATACAGGTCAGTAAGTTCTAAAAACCTACCACTTTTTCAATTCTTCAGTGTAAAAATCCTTCAAATAAAAGCTGTCTCTTTAAAGGAAAAAAAAAAAGATAACTTACATATTTCAAAGAAAGACATTATAATAGGGTCAAAATTTCAATTAGTTAAGTATGAGATCCTTAGCAAAGCTTTTAGAAATTGCTATGTTCTACATTTTTCTTTTCTGATTCAAAGCAAAGAGATTTTCTATCCTCTTTCTTAATTAGGTGGTTTCTTTGGATACTATTTAAAGAAAAGATAAGGAAAATCAGAGAAACAACTTCTTTATATTGATACTTGCTTATTTTCTTTAAGTTCGACTCTATTGAATAATCACTCTGCTGCTACTGTGGCATTTTTTAGTGTAAAACTTTAGCCTGTCTTCCCCTAAAATGAACTCTTTGTCAGCATCATAATACCTTAAGCTTAGTTAACCATCAACTTTTAATCCATGTGTATTTCATCTGATGTCTCTTTTAAGTAGCCTCTCTATGTGGAAAATTTCTATTTTTGCAAAACTTCATAGAAGTTTTTAGCTGTAAAACATACTATGTAATAGGACAAATATTTAAAACAAGTTTATAACACCATCCCTTCTTTTTCTCTCTCTAAAAATGTTTAAAGAGAAGGTTCAAGTTCTTCTTGTATGACTATTTAAATATCATAGGGTGAGGTCCCAATGGACCCAACCAAAAGAAAAACCCAAGTTATATTGTGGTCAAAGAGGTTTAATTGGAGTCAGCTCTAAATTATTTCTAAAGAGACAAATAAGCTCATTCTTACCCTTTGTCTTCTCTTGCCTTACTCTTTTCCCTTATTTTGTTTTTTCTTGTCTCTCACTTTTCTTTCTCTCTCCATTCAACGTTATGCTTTCCTTTCTTTTTTTCTATTTATTTCCCCATCCTATCAAAATATGCTTTTCCCTTCTTTCTGTCCCTGCATTATTTTGAGAGAGCATAAACCATTTAAAACTTGCTCCACCCAGGATGAATTTTTCCCCAATTTTGGTTCATACATCCCTGATGCATCTCCTTGAACACCAGTGGAAAATGTAGACACCTAGAGGAGTGGTCCGGTGATAAAACCTGGAAGCCTCAGGGGTGTGTGTGTGTGTGTGTGTCTGTGTGTCTGTGTGTGTGTCTGTGTGTGTGCATGTATGCGTGGGCATGCTAGGTCGTGTCTGACTCTTTGTGACTCCATGGACTGTAACCCGCCCAGGTTCCTCTGTACATGGAATTTTCCAGGCAAGAATACTGGAGTGGGTTGTCATTTCCTCCTCCAGAGGTTCTTCCTGACCCAAGATGGAACCTGAGTCTCCAGCATTGGCAGGCGGCTTCTTTAACGCTGAGTCACCAGTTAAGCGGCTGAGCTACTAGCCTGGAGTCTCCTTATTCTAAGTGGGCTCTAGGGGGCGCTGCTCTGTGCGATTTGTCTTGAGTGCAGGAGGTGCTGCAGTCTTGCTTCTCACGGTGGTCTGAGGGAAGAGCTTGCTCTACAGAGAGGAGACACAGGTGCCGGGAAGCAGCAGGGGGCGTTTGTAAAACGCTGTGCTCGTGGAGAACAAAGTCTCTGGGGTGGTGCCCTATCTCTAGCAGAGGTGAGCTGCAGAAGAGTCCGCATCCAGGCCAGCGGGAGCCATGGCCTCTGCGCACATCTGCACACTTGGGATTCTGTTTATGCTCAGTGAGTGACACTCCCTTCTCGTTTTCCACTTGTATTTCCCGCTTAGGTTCTTTTTCAGAAGCTTCACTAATGTGAGTTAATTTCCAGGTGGACTGAGAGCTCAGTCGGTGACTCAGCCAGAAGATCAGGTCCCTGTCTCGGAAGGGGATCCAGTGACTGTGAAGTGCACCTATTCAGTGTCGGGGAGCCCTTATCTTTTTTGGTATGTCCAACATCGCAATCAAGGTCTCCAGTTCCTTCTGAGATACATCGGAGGGGACAAGTTGGTTCAAGGCAACTACGGTTTTGAGGCTGAATTTAACAAGAGCCAAACCTCTTTCCACCTGAAGAAACCATCTGTTGTAGGGAGTGACTCTGCCTTGTACTTCTGTGCTGTGAGCGACACAGTGGTTGGGGCTGCAGGGAGAGCTGAATATAAACCCCTGAGCACAGAAAACCATGCTCCTGAAGCCTTAATATCCCTCCACAAGGTGGTGGTGTGGCTCCAGGATTTGTCCTTCATTATACCTAAAAGAATTTTTTTTTCTAAACCCACAAACTTTGTTCATTTGGGAAGTATAATTGAAATAAATCCTTGTGTGCCAGCTACTCTGCTGAGCACTGATCATAAAGAGGTGAAAGAAAGCATCCTTGATCTGCAGATGCCAGGTGTGATCCCAAACATTTGTGAAGCCCTTTAACACTACTCTTCTCATGAGCTTCTCTTTATAGATGAAGGCATTCAAGCTCAGAGAATTTACCTATCTTACTTAAGTCACAGAACTGCTCAACAGTACATTGAAACCCAGGCAGCCTGCCTCTCAGAAGTGTAGTCTAAGCACTCCACTTCTCCTCAGCCTATATGCTCCTCCAGGCATGAGATAGATTTCAACAGTCGTGTAGCCCTAACTCCCAAAATAGTCCCTGTTAATAAAAAGTGTTGGTTGTAGGAATGAAAAGTAAAATGATAACTCGAAAGAGTTTGGTAAATGCTCAGAGAGAGAAGTGCATAAATGCTATGTGACAAAAGGAAGTAGAGGTAACTTGACTCTGAAGGAAGGAGAGAGGAAGCAAATGAGACGTAATGTGAGGAGGATTCAAAACAACGGAGGATTTAAGTATGTCGTGTAAACATGTAGGCTGATTACAGCTCCTGTGCTCCCATCTTCTTACGTATCCCCTCGTGAAGGACTGGACTCAATGCCTCTCTTTTTTTCTCTTTTCAACTTAGAACCTCCCAGGAAGGGCTCTGGTTGACTCAGTGTGAGGCAGATGCTGTTCCCTGGACAAGTTGTGCTGGCTACTAGGGTTAGCCCAGCTTTGCTCTACATGTGACCAATTAATTAGTGGTGGCTGGGGGATGATTCTGCAAGAAATTAGCAGCTCCAGTTTGAACCATATGATTCAAAGGAGTATATCCCAAAAGAAATTAATTTTTATGTAGAGACTTACATTTCTTTATTTTTTCCAAATGGATAGACATTGGTAGGAACCCTACTTATTGAAAACTTCATACTTGCTCCATTGATTTGGGATACTGCATTTATAGTATACTAAATTCCTATATATACCCAGATCTATTTTTGGATTGTATCCTTGATGGGGGTACATTAGCCCAACATGATTACAATCCCTGCAAAGAGGCATTGCTTGACTACCCCTTGGGCTTGGGTTGTGTATACACTGGTGGAATATCTACATTAGGGAAGAAGGTCCTTGGAAGAAGCACATGCAGACTTCAAAGTGGACCTGGGGAATGCTTGTGTGCAGGGAATCCTGGGATCCTGGGTAACGAGAGCAAGATCTAGAAGAGATATTTCCTTGGCTCATTGGACTTCTCACAGGCAGAGATGTGGGAGGATGGCCAGGGAAGAGCCTTTTATAATGGAAGACTAGGGAAGGGACTAGGGAAGCGCCTGCCTGCAATGCAGGAGACATGGGTTCAATCCCTGGGTCTGGAAGATTCCCTGGAAAAGGAAATGGCAACCCACTCCAGTATTCTTGCCTGGAGAATCCCATGGACAGAGGAGTCTGGTGGGCTTCAGTCCATGGGGTCGCAAAGAGTCGGACATGACTGAGCAAGTTCACTTTCAGGGACGGGACACTGTGTGCTCAGGTCTATATTTCCCCCATTTACTGAGGTGGCTAAGAAGGAGCAAATAAGTTTCCTTCCAAGTTCTGTTTTGTCATTTGGTCCTGGTAATTGGCTTCTTGAACCCTGAGGAGGAAAGTTAGCTTAGTATTATTTTATTCCTATGCTTACTGGAAAATGTTCCTTATAACCAGGTAACTTGTAAGGAAAACCAGAAATTCAATGGAGTTTTTATTTATAATATTCATTTTTATGCTCTCTTTTATCTCATTTTTTCCCCATTTATTTTTATTAGTTGGAGGCTAATTACTTTTCAATATTGTAGTGGATTTTGTCATACATTGACATGAATCAGCCATGGATTTACATGTATTCCCCATCCTGATCCCCCCTCCCACCTCCCTGTCCACCCGATCCCTCTGGGTCTTCCCAGTGCACCAGGCCCGAGCACTTGTCTCATGCATCCAGCCTGGGCTGGTGATCTGTTCCACCCTCGATAATATACATGTTTCGATGCTGTTCTCTTGAAACATCCCACCCTCGCCTTCTCCCACAGAGTCCACAAGTCTGTTCTGTACATCTGTGTCTCTTTTTCTGTTTTGCATATAGGGTTATCATTACCATCTTTCTAAATTCCATATATATGTGTTAGTATACTGTAATGGTCTTTATCTTTCTGGCTTACTTCACTCTGTATAATGGGCTCCAGTTTCATCCATCTCATTAGAACTGATTCAAATGAATTCTTTGTAATGGCTGAGTAATATTCCATGGTGTATATGTACCACAGCTTCCTTATCCATTCGTCTGCTGATGGGCATCTAGGTTGCTTCCATGTCCTGGCTATTATAAACAGTGCTGCGATGAACACTGGGGTGCACGTGTCTCTTTCAGATCTGGTTTCCTCAGTGTGTATGCCCAGAAGTGGGATTGCTACGTCGTATGGCAGTTCTATTTCCAGTTTTTTAAGAAATCTCTACACTGTTCTCCATAACGGCTGTACTAGTTTGCATTCCCACCAACAGTGTAAGAGGGTTCCCTTTTCTCCACACCCTCTCCAGCATTTATTGCTTGTAGACTTTTGGATAGCAGCCATCCTGACTGGTGTGTAATGGTACCTCATTGTGGTTTTGATTTGCATTTCTCTGATAATGAGTGATGTTGAGCATCTTTTCATGTGTTTGTTAGCCATCTGTATGTCTTCCTTGGAGAAATGTCTGTTTAGTTCTTTGGCCCATTTTTTGATTGGGTCATTTATTTTTCTGGAGTTGAGCTGGAGGAGTTGCTTGTATATTTTTGAGATTAATCCTTTGTTGCTTCGTTTGCTATTATTTTCTCCCATTCTGAAGGCTGTCTTTTCATCTTGCTTATAGTTTCCTTTGTTGTGCAAAAGCTTTTAAGTTTCATTAAGTCCCATTTGTTTATTTTTGCTTTTGTTTCTAATATTCTGGGATGTGGGTCATAGAGGATCCTGCTGTGATTTATGTCGGAGAGTGTTTTGCCTATGTTCTCCTGTAGGAGTTTTATAGTTTCTGGTCTTACATTTAGATCTTTAATCCATTTTGAGTTTATTTTTGTGTATGGTGTTAGAAAGTGTTCTAGTTTCATTCTTTTACAAGTGGTTGACCAGTTTTCCCAGCACCACTTGTTAAAGAGTGTTTCGTTTCTCCATTGTACATTCTTGCCTCCTTTGTCGCAGCTAAGGTGTTCATAGGTTCGTGGATTTACCTCTGGGCTTTCTATTCTGTTCCACTGATCTATATTTCTGTCTTTGTGCCAGTACCATACTGTCTTGATGACTGTGGCTTTGTAGTATAGTCTGAAGTCAGGCAGATTGATTCCTCCAGTTCCATTCTTCTTTCTCAAGATTACTTTGGCTATTCGAGGATTTTTGTATTTCCATACAAATTGTGAAATTATTTGTTCTAGTTCTGTGAAAAATACCATTGGTAGCTTGAAAGGGATTGTATTGAATCTATAGATTGCTTTGGGTAGTATAGCCATTTTGACCATATTGATTCTTCCAATCCATGAACACGGTATATTTCTCCATCTGTTTGTGGCCTCTTTGATGTCTTTCATCAGTGTTTTATAGTTTTCCATGTATAGGTCTTTTGTTTCTTTAGGTAGATATACTCCTAAGTATTTTATTCTTTTTGTTGCAATGGTGAATGGTATTGTTTCCTTAATTCCTCTTTCTGTTTTCTCATTGTTAGTGTATAGGAATGCAAGAGATTTCTGTGTGTTAATTTTATATCCTGCAACTTTACTATATTCGTTGATTAGCTCTAGTAATTTTCTGCTAGAGTCTTTAGGGTTTTCTATGTAGAGGACCATGTCATCTGTAAACAGCGAGAGTTTCACTTCTTCTTTTCCTATCTGGATTCCTTGTACTTCTTTTTCTGCTCTGATTGCTGTTGCCAACACTTCCAAAACTATGTTGAGTAGTAGTGGTGAGAGTGCGCACCCTTGTCTTGTTCCTGATTTCAGGGGAAATGCTTTCAATTTTTCACCATTGAGGATAATGTTTGCTGTGGGTTTGTCATTATAGCTTTTATGATGTTGAGGTATGATCCTTCTATTCCTGCTTTCTGGAGAGTTTTAATCATAAAAGGATGTTGAATTTTGTCAAAGGCTTTTGCTGCATCTATTGAGATAATCATATGTTTTTTATCCTTCAATTTGTTAATATGGTGTATTACATTGATTGCTTTGTGGATATTAAAGAATCCTTGCATTCCTGGGGTAAAGCCCACTTGGCCATGATGTATGATTTTTTTAGTATGTTGTTGGATTCTGTTTGCTAGAATTTTGTTAAGGATTTTTGCATCTATGTTCATCAGTGATATTGGCCTGTAGTTTTCTTTTTTTGTGGCATCTTTGTCTGGTTTTGCAATTAGGGTGATGGTGGCCTCATAGAATGAGTTTGGCAGTTTACCACCTTCTGCAATTTTCTGGAAGAGTTTGAGTAAGATAGGTGTTAGCTCTTGTCTAACTTTTTGGTAGAATTCAGCTGTGAAGCCATCTGGTCCTACGCTTTTGTTTCCTGGAAGATTTCTGATTACAGTTTTGATTTTCTTGCTTGTGATGGGTCTGTTAAAATCTTCTATTTCTTTTTGGTTCAGTTTTGGAAAGTTATACTTTTCTAAGAATTTGTCCATTTCTTCCAAGTTTTCCATTTTATTGGCATAGAGCTGCTGGTAGTAGTCTCTATGATCCTTTGTATTTCAGTGTTGTCTGTCATGATCTCTCCATTTTCATTTCTAATTTTGTTAATTTGGTTTTTCTCCCTTTATTTCTTAATGAGTCTTGCTAATGGTTTGTCAATTTTGTTTATTTTTTCAAAAAACCAGCTTTTAGCTTTGTTGATTTTTGCTATGGTCTCTTTAGTTTCCTTTG